AGTAATAAAATTGAGAGAGAGAAAAAAACATAGAATTGTGAGCATCCAAAAGAAATTCGACTTTGCCTTTGTGCGATTTATATATTATTTATATGAATATTTTTTGTTTTTTTTTGCCATTCATGCTAATACTAATTTCATATACATATTTCGGTCGTCCATTTTCAGTTAAAACTGCAACAAAAGCCAACGCTTCATGTCTGAAGCTACTGTGTTGACCGGCACAAATAATATCGTATCTGGAAAAAAATGCATTGAAATCGACATCAATGACATTTGTGAACAGTATCAGTCGGTTGAACAAATCAGTGCTTTGTTATCAGGTATTCACGTTTATGAATTTGGTATAATTTAAAGTACAACCATTGAATAATACCATTATGATTTTCGAATTTCAATAGCTTCTATGGACGTTTGGAAAAAGGATTCTGTGCGTTATATTCACATCAAAACACCAAGAAATTCTTTTACCGCAAAACTTGCTGTTATCGAATCGATTCTCATTAAGGTAAAACATTGACTTTCTTACACATTGACTATATTTTCTATCTCTCTTTCCCTCCTTTTCTATCCTCTCTCTCTCTCTGCCACTCACTTGCATACGAAATATAATCTTCTTCATGAAACGAATCATTATTTTTAGAAATTTGGATGCAAAGTTATTGATGGAGAATCACATACGATATTTGAAAAAATATTGGATCCAATTTCTGATGTGGTCCAAGAGGTGAGTTTTTTTTCAAACTTGAAACGTATTTGATATTTGAAATTTTCTTACGTGCCCGTTCTGTGCCGTTTATTTCTATGACAGTTGAATCGACTTGAAATTGCCACATAATTAATAAAGAAATGCTACATAACAGGGTAATCAAGTTGACGAATGCAGTTCTGGTAACGATACAGAAACATTGAGCTCACGAACTATTTCGGCGGACGGTTCGGATTCGAAATCAACGATTGATCGCTACGAACTCAGTACGCCCAATAATAATCCATCTGCACCTCAGTCACCAATTACATACACAGATAGTACCGCAAGTGATGTGGCTGATATACAACATGCCGCTGTTTTAAATTTTTCGGGCCGCTTTGGCTGTAGTGCTCAACAAATCCAAGACCTAAATCTGCCGAATGCAGATCCAGATTTAGAGTAATGAAAATAAAATTCCATCTTTTTTGTCCTGTTACCGTTGCTGTCTTCAGTCGAACATTATCCGCATTAAATACATCAAATCTTAGCTATTTGGCCAATCACAAGATATGAATATTTAAACAAATATATGTTAGAAGAAAACACACACACACACACAAAAAAAATTAGGGCCTATTTCGAAAATTTCAAAAATAGAAACCAAATTAAATAAGATAACTAAATTTGTAAACATCCCAATAAACATCCTCTCACTAAAATTAACCC